ATTATATTTTAAAAATAGGATAAAGAATTCTATGCTTCTCATTCATTCCGTTCTTGATTTGCATTTCCCTATTCACTCAGACATTGAGCATAGTTTCATGTGTTCATTGGGTATTTGTATCTCTGGAGAGAAAGTCTGTTTAAGTTATATGCCTACTACTTTACAATTGAATTGTCTTATTGTTATTGAATTGTAAGAGTTCTGCAAATACCTTGGATATTTTTCTCCTTTAAGATTATATGAATTACAAAAAAAAAAAAAAAAAAAAAGACTACATTAAAAAGGGCCAGTAAAATAGCTCAGTGGTCTAAAGCACCTGCTTAGGCAAGTTTAGGCAGGCTCAGAGGGCCACGGTTCATTTCCTGGCACCACATGCTGCACCAGCCCCACCCTCAGGTTGGGCTGAGCCAGCTCCCGCCCCCCCCAAAAAAAGATTATATGAATTACAAATATTTCTCCCAAAGATTGTTGTCACTTTCTTTTAATATCCTTTGAGGAACAAAAGTTACTAAGTTTCTTTTTTTTTCTTTCTCTCTTTCTCTCTCTCTTTTTAAAAGACAGTCTCATTGTGTAGTTCAGGCTGGGCTTGAACTCACCTTGTCCTCCAGACCTGCCTTGAACCCAGGGTGATCCTTTTGCATCAGGGTGCAACCACACCCCTCAAAATTAATTTTTTTAAAGTTTAAAGAGAAAAGCAAAACAACAAAAAATAATAACAATACAAAGTTTCAAAGCAAGATGATAGGAAATTAACAATAGTTGTTAGATTACATGCTGTTATTTGCAGAGTGTTTGCTTAGATTACCAGATGTAGGCTCGGAAGATTGATCAAACAATGAAGCATCAACTGTTCCTTTCAATAAGCCAATTATTATTATTATTATTATTATTATTATTATTGAAATTGTCCAAAACTTATTGTAAAGAAAAAATCATTAAAGCACATACATTGAAAAATTAGCTATGGAAGAACAAAATTAAATAGCATCTTATTCCATATTAGAAAGAAAAAAAAAAAAGACCAAGTGTGTAAGAAAGGAGACTAATTAAAGGACTGAAAGGAAAAAAACAGATCTGTCCTCTTTGAATTTTATACTTAGCAAACATACCTTTGAAAACTAAAAGTAAAATATTTTCCAGTTATACAAACTCGAAATAGTCTAATACATCCAGATGTAGCATATAGGAAATAACAAAGAGCGTAATTCAGAAAGCAATAGAAGTTGCTGTATGGTCCTGGATGAAGAATAAAGAGCTCTCAAAATGATAGTTATGCAGGACTATGTAAAATATGAACCCATTTATTATTTTATTTTATTATTTTTTTTGCTGAACCGGGGATTGAACTCAGGCCCTTGCGCTTGCCAGGGAAGCACTTATTCCACTGAGCCATCTCCCTAGCCCCAGATGAACCCATTTAAAAGGTCATTAAAGATTTCTATGGAACAGTATCAATCTTACATCAGGTTATACACATATTTTTTTATATATGCTTGTGTGTATAAAACATATGGAAGAAGTAATATAAAGTCAATGGAAGATGGAAATATGCTTTTTAAAGTTTCAAAACTAGGAGAAAATATTATACCATGTCTTTTTTTTTTTTTAGTTTTTTTTGGTGGAACCGGGGATTGATCTCAGACCCTTGCGCTTGCCAAGGAAGCGCTTATTCCACTGAACCATCTCCCTGGTTCCAATACCATGTCTTTTAAATAGACAGTCAAATATATAGCATAAATCTTAAAACAAAAATTAAGATTAAGCAATATTCAGAAAGTTAAATATTAATTAATTAAAAAGTAAATGTTTCAAAACAATTGAACTAAGAAAAAATCTTCATGATAGTAAAGAATTACTAAGAATAAAACATAAGATAAATACTGGAATGACAAATCAGTGACCAGCACATCTGACAGTTTGGGGATAGGATATTGCACAAAGTTCCAGTGCGTCGTGGACATGCATAATGTCCATAACACTTACTGGTGGCCAGGTGTCACTTGTGGGACTGAGCTACTGCTATTTCCTTGATATCCACGCTGTAGACCCAGACAGAATCATGACCCGTAGGGTGCAGGAGAAGTCCATTTGTAGAGTATGCTGATGGAAATAACTTGTTGCTGTTAACAAAAGAGTAACTGAAAGACTGCTTTTGTATTCCTCTTATTCTCCTGTGTTTAATTGTTTGCCCTATGTGGTGGGTTCTTTCCATTGTCATTCTTGGAGTTGTGGTCATTTTGATCCCTCTCTAGAACATCTTTTAGTAGTCTGTGTAGGTTTGGCTTTATCATCATGAAATTCTTTAGTTCTTTGTCATGGAAGTGTCTCACTTCTCCGTTATACTTGAAGGAGAGTTTTGCAGGATATATCAGTCTGGGTTGTAGTTCGTTTTTTTGCAAGATTTGAAGTACTTTGCTCCATGCTCTTCTTGCCTTCATGGTTTGTGAAGAGAAATCTGCCGTTATCATGATGGGTTTTCCTATAAACGTGATGTTTCTTTTCTTTAGTGGCTTTTAGTATACTGTTGGTGTGCTGAATTTCTGGGATCTTAATTATTATATGTCTGGGTTTTTTTTTTTTTTTAAAGTTTTATTGATAAGCAGATAGCAATGAGACAGTTTCAAATCAAATCGGAAGTACAGTTTCAACAAATAATACACTGCATATATTCTTCTTAGTGGTTAATTGCTGTACAAGATGCGGACTTGTGATCCTCTTTACAAACACCATTAGAACAAATCATTCTATTCATTAAGAGAATGCAACTATATATCTATCCCAACCACTGGGTGTGTTTTTAATTGGGTTGATGTTATGTGGAGTTCTTTTTTTTTTTTTATGTGGAGTTCTATATGCTTCAGTTACTTGAATGTCAGATAGTTTCCCCATATTTGGGAAGTTTCTGCTATTACTTCCATCTATATTCTTTTTATATCATTTGTATTGACTCTTTCCTTTTCATTGATGCCTGTTAGTCTCATGTTCATCTTTGCATTGTCTTGCAGATATTGAATTATTTTTTCCTGCATCCAAGTTGTTTTTAAGAGAACTTTTCTTACTTTTTTGCTAGCTGCAATGGTGTCTTTAAGGTCTGAAAGTCTATTTTCATTTTCATTCAAACGGTTTTGCCAGCTTGTGATTGAGGTTTTAAATTCCTGTATGTCACTTTGGATCTGCTTCATGCATTGTATTTCTTTCCTGTATTGCTCATTCAAGGATTGCATGCAGCTGGAGAGATGGCTCAGTAGAATAAGTGTTGCCTGGCAAGTGCAGGGTCCTGAGTTCAATCCCCGGTATGGCGAAAAAAAAGAAAAAAAAGAAAGATTCCATCATTTTTATATTTTACTCTATTTTTTTAAAATCAGTGTCTTCTTTAGAAGCATTTAGTACTTCTTTCATTATAGTTATTTATTTTTTTACTTTTTTTTTTAACATTAACGTTTTCTTTTAATAAAGACTGCAGCTTCTGGACAAACCAGTCCAAAATTCCTAAAGTCACAAATAAGCTGAACAGCCCTCTTCTACTCACAAACTGGCCTTCTCCACCTCTGAAGAGACCTTCCCTTTACATCTGGGCAATGGGCCTTTCTCTTGTAGGTGGGCTAGGGCTGCATTGCCAGTAATGAATGGGGCATCATGCTATGCTTGGCTGTAAAATGCATCTCCTTTTTGCACAGATTCTCAAGTTCTAGAATTTTTATCTCTAAGTCCCCCATAAACATACAAAGCTCAAGCCATAGGGTGCCTTCTCCCCCTAGAGCGCCTGCCCTCTATTTCTTTGAGTGTACATTTTAAAAATTCTGCCCAGTGAATCTCTTTATGCCTCTAACTGAAGTATCCTTGAGCTGCCTGCGGAGGCTGGGGCTACCAGTGGCACAGACAGCACCTACCTAGAATCTTCAGTTCCTCTGTTCGATTCCCAGTATCAAAAAATACCCAACAAACACAAACCCAAAATTCTTCTGGATGGCAGTCAACACACTGACACCCTGCCCTGTGGTGGCATGAGTCAAAGGTCCCCAACTTTACATGGGGGACCTCTCTGGACTCTGTCCACGGACACTCACCATGTCAGGTCATTTGACAGCAATATTTGACATCACTGGACAGTTTATAAATCTTTAGGAGACGACAGGATTTACAACTGAAGTGTAAGTTCCTATTTATTCTGAAATGTCCCAACTATGAAAATGATTATAATTTCAAACCAAGGTCATATCCTCAACATAAAGTGCAAAGTCTTTCCATGAAAATTAAGCCTGTGATTCAATAAATTAAAATATGTACATTCTTTAATCCTGTGTATCGAGAGACTCGTTTTTGGTCTTCCAGTGGCTCTCCCTTCCCATTTCACGAAAGCAGCGCACTCTCGTAACATGCGGACACCAAAGCGCTGCCATTCTCACTGATAAATCCACAGTTCCTGTGTCGTATCCAAACACGCCAACACTGCCCCTCCTTTCCATGCAATCAGCCGGGGATCCATGTCCTTGGGCCTTGTGATCACATCTACGTTTTCAATAATTCACCTAAACAAAGGGGGCATTTTGTTGAGAATTCTGTGCTGGAGAAATTCTTGAGCTTTATGGAACATCAAACCACCTCCCACCACCAGGATGGAGCTGTACATCTTTTTTTTGGTATCATCAGATGAACAGCAGTCTGTGCTATGAAGGATGGCTTTATCAAGGCCCAGGGCTTTCCCTTCAAACAGCGAGATGGCAGTCTTCCTGGACATCAGTGCATTGAGAGCCTCCTCAGAGTCGGTGCCAGCCATCAGGCAGTCTCCTTGAGAGGACCCCAAATCCACCTCCTGAGAATGGAGTCTTTCTGGAATATCGGAAGACTGGCCACGAAGATCTCCTTCAAAGCCAATGGGTTTGGATGCAGACTTTCGGTCAGCAGTAGCTTTTGCAGACTGCTCCTGCTTGCTCTGCGTAGCCAGGAGGTAATGTTCATCGTGAGGGTCCTCAGGGTCACCCTGGGATCTGTGCTGCAAAGTCGTCATCTTCTGTCCAACAATTCCAAAAGTGGCCTGGTAAAATAGAGCCATTGGAGCCTGGAGCTTTTCATCTCCTAGTCGAAACTGGTAAAGCAAGGCAGGAGAGTCTGGATGACGAATCTGAAATTCGTGGTCCTGAAGCCCAGAGATGTCCTGATCTAAATGACAGAAGGTTTCCTTAAGGTGCTGGAGTAGCAGGCAGTCCATTTTATTTGTTAGCTGGCACTCCCTATAAGGGAATCCTGCCTGCTGCATGAGCCAGTAAAAACATCTGGACACATCAGATCCTCCATATGCCAGACAGAGCCGAGTGTTCCGATGAGACACCCCGTCCTCCACACAGCAGACACTTGTCTTCTGGTCCCCGACATCTACAATACATGTGCTGCTTAGGCCACTTCCAGAGGTGGCACACACGGACTCTTGATGAACCACAATCCCTGAAAAACCCATCTTCATAAGTATCATATTCATTAGTTCTTTCACATGCTGTTTATTATAGATGTCAGGAATTAATAAGATACACCTATAATACTTTAAATCTTTCAGTGGGATTTCCAAGTATTTTTATAGTGCATGAGACCATATTACTTCAATATCTGCCAGAAGAGCTGTAAGGGAGCCCCCAGGTCCAGGGTGAATATTTAACTGACCTCTTCTGATGGGCCAGTGAATATTGTAACAGTCCAGTGGATTCACATATAAGGCCTCTTCTCCTACCAAATACTCAGGATGGTGAGATGTGTTTGTCCACTTATTTCCAGAACAGTGATCTAAAATTGTGGGGCGCATCTGCTTGTTGTAAGCACGGGCCTGTTCAGGAGACATAGGAATCTGTCTTGTACCGTTTGACGTCTTTTTAGACCATATTGCTTGATCCACCGTTTTAAGGCCATTTTGTCTTTGTTCGTTACTCTCAGGTTTATTTAGTCCCTCCCTTAGGAGCCAGTTGTCCTTGTACAGAGGCTGCCCTTGTTGTTTGTGTCTTCGTGCAATGACATGTGGAATGCTGGCAGGGAGTGTGTCTGTGGCTCGACCAATTCTTAAAGTTGTGGAGCCTGGATGTATGACAACAATAAAGTTGCTCTGGATTTGCCACACATGCCGGTCACTTCCAGCCGCCCCGCTAAGCTTTCTGCTTCATAGCTCCTTAATTCTTCTGGGAATTCCGCCTCGCCTCGCCCCACTTTTCTACAGGCACGTGGATGTTTTCTTTGATCAGTGTTTGTGTCTTTTTCCTCCTGCAGCGACTTGGGCACCAAGGCTGGCACGATGGGCCGCTTCCTGCCACGCTGCTCCTTCTTTTCCCCGCCCTTTTCCTTCCCGTTCTCCGTGTCTCCCTTCTCGGCCTGGGTCATCGCGAGCACGGACGACCACCGGCCTCTCGCCTGAGCAGCACCAGCTCGGCCTCCGGGACCAGTTATTTATTTTTTTACTTAAGAAATTCTTTCTTTTTTTTTTTTTTTTGCTCCCAATGCCTTCAGGGCAGGTTTGGTTGGCTTGATTTGTGGGGATTGAACCACAGCAACCTGAACCTGACTGCTGTGTTGAAGCAGCCACTTAAAGAACTGAGCTAAGTGGGGCCGGGGAGATAGCTCAATAGAATAAGTGCTTGCCTGGCAAGCGCAAAGGCTTGTGTTCATTCCCCGGTTCCGCAAAAAAACAAAAAAACAACTGAGCTAAGGGGCAGGCCCCCCAGAAATTATTTCTGATCTGATTTCCTCTGTACCTTTTTGCACTTGTTTCTTTACTTCAGACGCTATTATTTCGGAGATTTCAGGCGTGTGATTTCCAGTTTCTTCTATGCTAATGTTTTCTGCATTTGTTCTGGGTGGGCTTGGGGCCTGAGACTGCATTTTGTTCCTTCTCTTTGTCATTTTCTACAGCACTGTCTTCTGACCTTTAGTGTAGAGCTTAGTTATTACCTTAGCACCAGGTCTGGATCTACCAAGTTCAGACTTGTCCAAGTGGGTGTGGCTTGGGTCTGGCTGCTGTGCTCCACTTATTCCTGTTGCAGCCCTTGCAGTTGAACCCTCTGTGCCACTCTGGCAAGATATTCTGCTCCTGAATCAGCTGGGTGGGTGTTGCCTGTAGTCTCTTTGCAGGGAATTCTGCTGCACATTCCACGCTGGGCCTGCGCTCTAGGTCAAATCAGGGTCTGCTGGGTTCCGGGTTGTCTCACTCACACTCCCAGCCTGGGCTCTGGTTCGAATGAAGATCTGGTGGTCCCTGGGCGGTCTCACTCACATGCCGAGCCTGAGCTGTGGGTTGATTCAGGATCTCGCGGTCCCAGATGGTTCAAAATTAATTTTGATGAAGTCCAGTTTTATCAATTTTTGTTATTTCTGGTGCATGTGCTTTTATTACATCTAAGAAACCATTGCCAGATCCAAGATGGTGAGGATTTGCTCTTTGTTTTCTTCTGAGAATTTTATAGTTTAGCTCTTACATTTAGGTTGTTGATCTATTTTGAATTTTTCTTAATGAGGTTTACACTGAACCTTTGTTTTTTGCATGTGAATATTCATGTTTCAGCACCATTTGTAAGAGACTTAGTCTTTGTTCATTGAATGTTGAAATCAACTGGCTATAGATGTTTGAGTTTATCTTCAATTCTCAGCTTTGTTTCATTAATCTGTCTTGTATATTATGCCAGTTCTATACTATTTCAGTTATTGCTTAGGAATGTGTTAAAATTGGAAAGTATATGTCCTCTACCTTTGTTCGTTTTCAAGATTTATTCAGGGACCCTTGTCATGTCATTGGCCTTTGAGAACCAAATTTGAGTATTAGCTCATTCATAGCTGCAGAATAGGCTGTTGAGATTTACTGTATTCTTTAACTGGGCTGGTGTTAAAAACCAGTGGCTTTGCTCATTGAGCTACATTCCTAGCACAACTGTTTGAATTGTAGCAGGACTTGCATTGGATCTGTATCACTTTGAGAAGTAGTGCTGTTTTGGCAGTATTAAGTCTTTCAGTTGATAATCTTTGTTTAGGTCTTTGTTTCGACACTGCCTTCTGGTTGTTAGCATCCCATTTTCTTTTTGATTGTTTTTGCTAATAAATAAAGGTAAAACTGATTTCACTTGTATCTGAGGTGAGGTTTATTTCTTGTTTGTGTTGCCCAGGACTGAAACCAGGGCTTCCAGCTTGCTAAGTAAGCATTCTACTGCTGAACTAAATCCCTAGCCCCTCTGTTGTATCTTTTATCCGACACCATTGCTGGATTCCTTTCTTAGCTTTAAAAATTTTATTTTATCCATAAGGTGTCACCTGCAGATAGAGATTGTTTTTGTGTCTTCCTTCCTACTTGGGTGCTTTTCTTTTTCTTCTTCTTTTTGTTTTCCTTGTTTGTTATTTTGAGACAAGGTCTCACTATAGTTTGGTACATAGCCCACATTGGCCTTGGTCTCATGGAGACCCCTTCTGCCTTGGCCTCCCAAGTGCTGGGATACAGGCTTCTTCCCATTTGAAAAGCTCTTATTTCCATTTTCCCTTCCATTTTCTTTTTTTTTTTTATCTTCTTTTCCTTTCCCCTCCCATCTCTTGTTCCCTTTTCCATTTGAAAATGATCTCTCTCTTTCCTCTTATCCTGTATTTTGCTCTTTATTTATATTTTGTGATTCTCACCCAGGAGAAATCATGTGGCATTTAAATAGCTTGTGTGTCTGATATATTTCATGGAACACTATGGTCCCAACGGGCATCCATTTACCCTCAAATGACTCATTTATCCATTTTTATATTAGAGTGGTATTCCTTTGTGTATCCATACATTTTCCTTACCCATTCATCTGTTTTTTTTTTTTCTTTTTTCTTTTTTTTTTTTTTTTGGCGGAACCGGGGATTGAACCCAGGCCCTTGTGCTTGCCAGGCAAGTGCTTATTCCACTGAGCCATCTCCCCGGCCCTTTCATCTGTTGATATATAGACTGCTCCAAGATTTAGTTACAGATAGTGTTGTTTTAAGACTAATCAGAGTTAGACTAAAGACATGCTTTTTAGACTTCCCACCTGCCACTCAAACTTTGGATCTACATTCATACTTACAGAAACATGAGAGGCACTGTGGCCGTGTTGTAGCCACTTCTGCACTAGC